TGAAAGAGGCTATTGATTAACAATTTTTGAGCAATATTTGAGCATTTCTATTGCCTTTTTTGTTGTTTTACTTTTGGTGAATTAAAAACTAAAACAATTTGTTTGGATAAAAATGCTGTGACTTTACATCCAGAGGTGCCAGATCCACATAAAAAGGTTCCGAAACACAGGTGTGCTATAATTAAAGGTGCCGGATCCTGTTTCAGAAGGAGCATGAGACACTTAAGAGTCACTATAACCTAAATAGTCATGAAATCGAATTAATTTAAGAGGTTGGGCCTAAAATGATTTATTCCAGTAGAAATACATTCATACTCATTTTGACCATATTATTGTGATTTATAGTAGACAATAAAAGAAAAAAATCATATTTCCAACAGCATTGTTTTTCTTTTTTTTTACAAAACAATAATGCAAAAAGTGTCAACTGTTCTTGTACTTACATTAATTGTTAATTAAAAATTTTTTTTTTTTTTATATTATATATTTATATTTTTTTTTAATTTTAAATTTTAAAAAAAAAAAAAAAAAAAAAAAAAAAAAAAAAAAAAAAAAAAAAAAAAATAATTTTTTTTTTTTTTTTTTTATATTTTTTTTTTTTTTTTTTTTAATTTTTAAAAAAAAAAATAAAATTATTTTTTTTTTTTTTTTTTTTTTTATTTTTTTTTTTTTTATTTTTTAAAAGATAAAAAAAAAAAAAAATAATTTTTTTTTTATTTAAATTAATTTTTTTAAAATTTTTTTTTTTTTTTTTTTTTTTTTTTTTTTCTAATTTAAAATTGGTTTGTTTTTTTTTTTTTTTTTTTTTTTTATATTTTTTTTTTTTTTTTATTTTTTTTTTTTTTTTTTTTTTTTTTTTTTTTTTTTTCTGACACAAATAGATCTGTAAGTTGTATCAGCTATTACGGATATCATATTTTAAATTTTTTTTTTTTTTTAAATTAAAATTTATTTTTATCATAACACTGATGTAAAGCACAGAAATAAAAGCTGAAACCCTAAATTTGCGACTCATATCAATGTTTTGATCTCAAACACAAATGTCTTTGATGTATAGCAGAAACAAATTAATTGGCCTTGCTGTTCCAGTAGTTTTGGGGAGGACTGGTAAATTTGGACACACCAACTGTTTCTTATGAAACCATTGAATTTTCTATATTTCTGCATAAGTATGATGTAAAACATCATCAGATTTTAAAGAGAACCCAATTAAACATCCATCCATCCATCCATCTGTCTTCTATACCGCTTATCCTTTTCAGGGTCAATGCTAATTAAACAAATGAGACACAAATGTTATATTTAGTCATTTATTTATTGAGGAAAATGATCCAATATGACATATCTATAAGTGTCAAAAGTATGTTAACCTTTGCTTTCAGTATCTGGTGTGACCCGATTGTGCAGCAATAACTGCAACAAAATATTTTTGGTAACTCTTCTGCTGATCACTCCTGCACATTGCCTTGGAGGAATTTTAGCCCGTTCCTCAGTACAGAACAGCTTCAATTCAGGGATGTTGGTGGGTTTCCTCACATGAACTGCTTCAGGTCCTTCCACAACATTTCCCTCATTAAAATGCAAATCAATTTATAACATTTTTGACATGCGTTTTTCTGGATTTTCTTGTTGTTATTCTGTCTCTCACTGTTCAAATAAATCTACCATTACAATTATAGACTGATCATTTCATTGTCAGTGGGCAAACATACAAAATCAGCAGGGGATCAAATACTTTTTCCTCTCATAGGATCTTCATTTAGTGGAGGGAAAACTTCTCTCCTCAGTCATACCCTGGTGGTGCGCCTTAGTGCTGAAGTGAATAGTTGTTCCACTGGAGCACAACCCCTTTCTTTATTAGTCTGTGTCCTCTGGGACCATCTATTGTTAAGCCAATTATTTATTATCTGGGGGCTCACAATAAATTATGAACAGAAAAATGTAAACTGGTAGAACACTTTCTGTCTATAAACAACTGGTAAACATACCCTGTATTTACCTATATTATATTACATAAAGTAGTATGTTGCAAGGGTATCAATTGAAAACTATCAACAAATTAAAAAATAAATGCCTCATATGAAGAGTGTCTGTGGATGAGGTTGTGTCTCTCTTGAAGGAACAGGTATCTTCGCTAATGGTTCGCCACAGTGGCAGGCAGCCAATCAGACGTTATTTCCAGAAAAATTAGTCAGCCAATGATAGTTGAGGTTAAAGTCAGACCAGTTGGACCTGCCCACTGCTGACAAAAAGAAAAGATATTTGCGAGAGCAGAGCATAGAGATTTTTCCTTGTGCTTATGAGGGTTTAAAATAAGCACACAAGATCTGTTTCAACCTCACTCTGTCACTATGATCTAAATAGGATTATAACCTTCTGCCATTCCTCAAGACCTTGTGTAAGCAAAATCATGCCCATGACCCCGGAGGCAGAGCTTCCCGCACTGTAAAAGCAGGTTGAACTTCTGTCTTATCCTCTTTACTTTTCTTACCTTAGAGACCATTTACAGGTAGGAAACCAATCTAATATTGTTTGTTCACCTTGACCTATGGCCAAGCATGGTGGTGGCCATGTGATGGTGTGGGGATGCTTTGCTTTAGGGCCTGGGTAACATGCAGGGAAACATGGATTCTGTTCTCTACTAGAGAATCAAAATGGAGAATATCCGGTCTTCAGTCTGTAAGTTGAAACTCAAGCGCAACTAGATTATGCAGCAAGGAAATGATCCAAAGCATAAGAGTAAATCCTAGTCCTAGAAGTAAGTGAAACACTAATATCCCATTTGAGTGCAGTTATTGCTACTAAAGGTGGCACAATCCGATTTTAAATTTAAGGGGGCAATTAGTTTTTCACATTGGTGATAGATGATGGAATTTTTTTTTTTTTTGCTTCAATAAAATCAATTAATTAATTAAATCTGTATTGTGTGTTCAGTCAGGTTGCCTTTGTTTTATGTTGTATTTTGTTTGAATATCTAAAACTATTTAGTATGAGATATACACAAAAACAGAAGAAATCAAATACTTTTTTCACTCCACTGTATTTGGCACATTTAACTAACTGGGCATTTTCTACTATTTAACTAACTGGGCATGTCATTTAAGTTCTTTCCAGCACCTCCTGGCATCTGAGATTTCTTCTCAAACCCCGTGCCCACTCTGTTTTCCCCAAGCCCACTGTTTAGTTTCTGGCCTCACTGCTGCTCTGTATGCAGTTTTTAAATGGTCCCCCAGTGCAGTAGGTGGCAGTGGCGCAGTACTTTCCTGTTTGACAACCGACATGGAAAAAGCGACGAAAGAGATGTTGACACAGATGTAGTTTTCCAAGCTCATTTTCTTTATTTCACAAAACTTTTAATTATACGTTTACTCGTTCTCTGTTAAAATGCTACCAGACTTGGAGAAATGCCCGAGGAGGTTATTAGTCTGTGAAAAATCCAGCTTCTTAAATGAAGCATCACGTCATGAAGCGCACGTGTCCAAACACAGCTTCAACTATAAGGTGAGCTTAGAGAACATTCAGAATACATTAAATACATGTCTTATGTTACAGTTCAGCTATGTATAGAATATGCTCATTTAATTAACTTGCTTAATTTTATAGGATGTTAATTGTACATTCCAGACGTGCTGCAGGTTTCTAAAATATTTTGAAGTATATATAAATGGTATAAACTTAAGTTAACTTGTCGGTCTTCAGTTCCAGTGTTTGTTGATGATGATGATGATGATGATGATGACTTACTCCACTTTACTCTTTAAAAGATTTTATGTAGGCCACAGAATTAATGGTATTTGTAATAGTGAGATAAATAAGGTTGTGATTGTGTATGAATTCATTTAGAATATGAATTAACTTTAAGTATGGTAAAGAACAGTTTAAGTCATCATTCATTCAATCACCTAGTATCAGTAACCACTGCATCTTGGTCATGGACCTGAAAAACCTGGAGCTTATCCCAGGAACACTGGGTGCAAGGCAGGAATATTGCCTGGATGGGATACCTGTCTATTTCAAGACTCCATTCACAAACATTTGCACACTCATTCGCACCACTGGCATGCTTTTGGGAAATGGGGGAGAACTTGAAAACGTAGAGGAAACCCACACAAACACGGTGGGATAACTTGCACTGAAACACCACACAAACAGTAACCTGAGCTCAGGATTGAAGTGGGGATCCTGAATCTGTGAGGCACCAATGCTACTGTAGGTCAAATTTTGCCTACTTTCTTATTACCAATATAACAATTTAGAAAATATCGAATGTACTTACAATAGCTTTCATCAGCTGAGATACTCAAAGTCTAAATCACCATGCGCAGGTAGAAATTTTTCAGCAAAAACTTAATCATCTCTGACTCCTTACTGAGGAATCACTGCAATACTGATTCACTTCAACAGACTGAGTCTGTCCCAGACAACCAAACTCTTTGGTGCCAGCTGTTAATTATATGTGGTTCTTTGACTATTTGTGTTTTTATGTATGAAAACAATGCCAGATTTGTTTGAGCATATTTTTCATGTGTTGTGAGCTTAAATATTTTTGATTCGCAGATTTCCTTACTGATACCTGAATGTGGAGTATTGCCTGCTGAGATAGCAAAAGTTATCAGTAATTTCAGTTCATATTACCTTGTACGGGATCTACCAGTTTACAGATTCCTGGAAGAGGACATGCTTGAAATAATTAAGAAAGGTAAAGGCAAAGATTGTGTTCTTTTACCACAGTGTAAGTTGTTTTTATTTAATTCTGGTTCTGTCCTGAAATGTTTTTTATTCTATTTTCACAGGCAGTTTTTATGCACTCTCCTACAAAACCAGACTTGATGAAGACAATATTATTGCTGTTTTGAGCGGTAAGTATGATTAAACACATGTCTAGTCACTCAAAAGTACCTTGAAAAAATCAGGATGGTATTTTGCATATTTTACTTGAGTGACCAGTTTATTTTTGAAAGTGATTTAAAGGTGCATTAGGTAATATGGTGGGATATTGGGGCAGTATTGGCTGAGTGGTTAAAAGCTCTTGTTTAATGATTAGAAGGTCAGGAGTTCAAGCCCCAGCACCGCCGTGCTACCACTGTTGGGCCCTTGGGCAAGGGTCTTGCTCAGATGTATAAATGAATGTAATAAATATAAGTCGCTCTGGATAAGGGCATCTGCAAAATTCTGTAAATGTAATTTTAGTCAGTTTTTATGAAGATTACATCTTTTAAATGTTATGTAGGTCATTTTGACATATGAATTAATTTTTTTAACCACTCGAGCTTAAAAAAACCCCATACCCAATTCCCATTCATGTCTGCAAACTTCTGCCCCCAGGATGGTGGTGCATGAAGTGTCTATAAAATGATTGAGGCCCATCCAAACACAAACAATAATTCCGGACCTGGGGCCTGTACTATGAATCTAGTTGAACAAAGTCAGATTTACGGGATTAGTTTGGAGTTGACAAAACCAAACCAATCAGGCTTTTTTGGTACCATGACGACATTTGTTGTCATTGGTTGTCAACATACTCTGTCAACTCAGGCTTTGATCCTTAAACTATAATCAGCCTACAACCGCGTGCATATAAACGTTTGACTTCAGCACCGAGCAACCAATCGCGTTCAACATGGCGGGGGCATTGAATTAGTTGCGCCACTTTGTTCACAGCTGATTGGTCCAAGTTGGGTTTGCATTCTCTTACCCAGAACATACCCTGCCCCGGAGCAGGTTATCCATGGAGCGAGCCGAGCCACTTTCATGATACCTAAAACCCAGGGTTGGCACATACTAAACTGAAACTTACCTGGCTAGCCACCTAAACCAGCGTCATGTTACAGGCCCCTGAAGTCAGTTTTCCAGACATGTTTTCTCAGCCATGTTTTCTTTACTCATATCAGAATGAAAAATTGTTAATCAGAATGACAGAACTGTTGAAAGTTTACCACAATACAAGGGATTTTGTATGGAAAGTTTCTATTACAATAGCTCACTAAATTTGTGTTAATCTACATATCCCACAATGGATTTCACTTAGAATATTTTATTGTTTGTTTTACACACAGATTTTTACATACATCAAATGATGTTATTTAATTATTTTATAAATGCTTTGCACATATGTATGTCACGAACACATTTTCCATAATAGTAACATGTTATGGGCAGTTAATGAAGCTGGTATGGAAGTATTAAAATGTTATTGATTTTATTTATTAAAAGTTATAGACAATTATTGTTTACATATCCTGAAAGCATGAAAGTTACAAATAGGAAATATTTATAAAAAAAAACAAATCGCCCTTCATGCCTGGCCATAAATGATGATCTAATATGGACAATACCAGATTTAGCAAAATAGATTATGTAAATAAGATTGACCCTTGGTGTTGGATGAGTGCACTATGTAATGTCGTCCCCCCCCCCCCGCAGGAAAGTTGATATTGTCTCTTGATAAGGACACATATGAGCAGCTTGGCATGGAGGGAAAACCATCGCTATACAACCACAGGAAGCCCATGAGATATGGTGAAAAGTTTTATCAGCATCTAACTAATTAAACTAACTCCAAAACAATCTAAATCTGACAGTTTAATATACATTTTTGTGTATTACGTTTCTGCACTTGCAGTTGTAACTGTGGACCTCACTGATAAATCTTTGGCTCCTGGTGCAAAGCGATACCAGCAAGTTCTGCTAAGTTTAAAAGAAAGAGTGCCACTGAGAAGTGACTTTCTTTTAACGGATTGCCATTCAGGTTTGTATTGGAGGTCTTTGAATGATTCGTTTCATTTAAGAGATTTGTTCTTGATTGTGATGAATATCTACATATTTCCCCATATTGTCCGCAGGTCCTTAAAAACTCTTAAGATGTCTTAAATTCCTTAATTTAAATACAAGGCCTTAATTAGCATTAAAATGTCTTGAATTCGCGTTTCAAAGGTCTTAAAAATGTAACCTAACCGACACCGTAACGAAGTTTTAGACTTTATTTCAGCTTGTTGCGGTTTGAAATGGTAAACCCGTGTCACTGATTTGCACTCAGTGTGTGTGGCTCATCAGTGTTTTAGAGCGGTAAACACCGCTCCACACCAACTTCATCTCTCTGTGCTGTGAGTTTGAGTCACTTATAAAATACATTTAGATGCAACACACACCAGATTCATTTTTGGTTTTACGGTAACATAATCTCAAATATTTTTGTAGGCAGAGGTTTACAGCACTTCACCTGATTGGTAAGGAGAAGTGAATTTTAAAAAACTGTTACCAACTAAATGGAGGTCTTCCTGCAGTTTTCTGCCAAAATAAAATCCACAAGGTCTATAAGTGAATTAAGTCAGAAATATATTACTATTATTACTATTTGTACCCCCAAATAAAAATTTTGTATTTTTATTATAAGTATTGTTCAGTGCATGTTAACACTGCTTGTTACATTACGCTGGCATGAACACTACTGTGAGGGGGTTTTGTAATACAGCTGCTGAGGGAGTGATGGTAAATTTGACATATTTTTCTCTTCTGACTGCCATAATCCATCTCTATTTTTTTCTCTCTCTTGGAAAGTCATGAAAAGGAAATACTGGATATTTTTTCCTTTCATTATTGGAGCAAATGGCAATGCAAAAAGTTTATTTGCTCTGGTCTCTCATATACCTCTATAGAAGTTTACCCTGCTATTGTTTTCTTAAACCCAGAAATAGATGTACTTGTATATACATAAACACGATCTATTATACCTGATGTATCGTGTAGCCTGATTGAAGTGATGTGCAGGTCTTCAATTTTTTTTTAGAAATGTCTTGAATATGGTATTAAAAAGTATTAAATTTGAAGTGCGGATCCCTGCAGATACCCTGTTTTAGTGGTATTTTCAGTTCTGTTCACACTTTTCTTTTAAATGAAGACGGTTGCTAAAGCAACAAGCGTTACAATTTTGTGAAATAAGCCATCTATTTTTTATTCAGTTAGTATCATCCTGTCAACATGTCATCTTGTAAATTATCCATGTCATGATGTCCCCAGAACCATATAGATTTTGACCTACAAGATAAACTGACCTGTAGATATTGATAAAAGAAAAAAAAATGTTCACCATTCAACCTCCAGATGAGATTTCATTTAAAATCTTGCCTACATTCAGTTAGGATATAACTTTTTTTTTTAAATTCCACATTCACATCACTGAGACTTTTTTCAGCGTCACTTTAGGATTTAATCTGTTGACCTTCTCTTATGAAAGAAGAGTTATGCTTTTGTTATGCTTTGTTGCCTATTGTATGAAGTAATACATGAAATTTGACTGCCTGGTATTAAATGCAACAGTTGAACTACTGACACAAATATATAGGAATTTCATGTCTAATAATCTGACTTTTTTGTGGCCTTGGTAAAAGTGGGTTTATGCTTACTTGTCCATTAGTTCTCCTCAAACTTGAGATTGAAGGGTATATATTTTAAATTATTTTAATTGCTATAAATCACTTTCCGTACATGTTTATTTAAGATTGTCTTGTACAGGATTACTAAATGTCCCACAGAGTAACTAACATAAACAAAATGGCTATGTTTTCTTTCCTGCCTGCAAGTTCTTAAGACCCAGCATAGAACACACTTTTCTACAGTTTGCATTTAATTTAGTTTAGAATTTTAGTAATACATTTATTTGTTCCTTGTTACATTTGTGACTTTTTTAATTTTGTTTATTTGTTTTTCTTCCATTTTTCTCCCAAGTTTAGTAATTGTCATTTCCTTCCCACTAGCTAGTTCTCCCCCATTGCGCAACAGCTAGCAGGTGTTTCCTCTGAGACGCATGAAGCAAACCATTATATCTTTTCAAACTGCTGTTCCTGTTTCTCACGAACAAACTGTGAGGAAAGTGCCAACTACCCTTTTCCGTATACATGAGCTCACAGACACTGTGATCGGTTAGTGACTCTCTGATTAACAGGGGAGAGAGTAAATCCATTTCTCCTACCCAGAGATCATGGAATCCAGAGATCTCTCTACATAGTTGGCTGTCTCTCATCATGATTTGAGCTTTTGATCTCTCAATGATAGTTCAAAGGCTTTATTTTATTTCAATATTTGCATGTGGTGCAGCACGTAATGTTGCAGCTTCACAGCTCCCGGTCCTGCGTGCGAATCTGAGCTCAGATTGCCATCTACAATGGCAAGAAAAAGTATGTGAACCCTTTGGAATTTCATGGTTTTCTGAATAAATTTGTCATAAATTGTGAGGGGAAGTCAGTATTGACAAATATAATGTGTTTAAAAGAATAACACAAAAAAAAATTCAGATCTTTCATGTCTTTATTGAACACACTCATTCAAAATGGCAGTGGCAGTGTCTCATGTGTATGGCTCGCTTCAAGTCATCCCATAGCATCTCTATTGGGTTGAGGTCTGGGCTCTGACTTGGCCACTCCAAAAGGCAGATTTTATTTTTCTGAAGCCATTCTGTTGTGGACTTGCTCTGGTGTTTTGGGTCGTTGTCCTGTTGCATCACCCAACTTCTACACAGTTTCAGCAGACGTACAGACATTCTCAGATTATCCTGAAGAATTGTCTGATATACTTGGGAATTCATCTTCCCCTCAATGGTAGAGTAGCAACAGTCCCAAAGTGTCTCCATTTGTAGAGTGTTTGCCTAACTGTAGACTGGTGGTCTCCGAAATCACTTTGTGACCCTTGCCAGCTTTATGTAAATCAACTATTCTTGATCGTAGATCCTCTGAAAGCTCTTTTTGGCGAGGCATGGCTCACATAAGCATGTGCTTCTTGTGCAGAGCAAACTCCAAAAGTTTGGGGGGTTTTTATCAGTCAAAGTAACTGTAGTCCACACCTCCAAACTCATTTTCTTAACGAGACTCCAGGTGTGCAAAAAAAAAAGAAGCTTTTTTGAGGTCATTAACTCGAGGGTTCCCATACTTTTTCCACAAGCACTATGAGGTTGTTTTGGTTGTTCTCAATAAAGACATGAAAGATCAGAATTTTTTGCGTGTTATTCTTTTAGACACATTATATTTGTCAATACCCTTGACTTAGATGAAAATCAGATCACACTTTATGACAAATTTATTCA